GTTTGAAAATGATACTTGCAACGATCGCAACATCGCCAGTGTGAAAGAATCCTTCGCTGTCGAAACACGCATCTGTTGCCTCCTTGTTGTTCCAATAACCCTAACAATCAAAGCATGGTATTGTATGAGTACAATTTATTTCCTTCGTAGCACGCGCATTCGATCGCGCTCATACATACTTTCGTGATATTTGGTCCACGAAGACACAATTCTCCGGGCTCGTTATATCCGAGCTCTGTGAATAAAGCGGACGAGGATCTTTTAGTGACGATCAACGAAAAGCAGGTATTTGAGAAAAAGAAAAGAAACAATGATACGTCATTCACCTTTGCCATCTTCGGATACAATCTTTGCCTCAATGTTCGGCAAAAGTTTTCCAATTGAACCTGGGTGCATATATATTAATTAGATCCACGGTATGCCCAACCCATTTCTTCTCATGGAATATGAATACCTACCAAAGACTGGATCCGCGGTGCTACCAAGATGAGTAATCGGTGATGTCTCGGTCAAACCTACACATGACAGATGAAGATTAGACAAATATGACTATGGTTCTCAGACGAGAACATGCATGCTCTTTGTTAGAGGGGCATATTACCATATCCTTGCTTTATAGGCACATTACAGATAGAAGAGCACTCATTAGTCAAGGTCTTACTCAAAGGTGCGGCGCCGCTTATGAATACTTGCATACTCGAATAGTCACAGGTCCTTGCGACTGGACTTCTCGTTAACAATACGACTACAGGCGGGACGATGTGAGCTATATTGACTTTGTATTTTTGGATGGTTGTGCAAAAGAGTGTTATATCGAACTTTGGAATGACTGCAACGGTGGCGCCCTTGAATTAAGAGTAAAGACACTACTTTTTAGTGTGAAAGAAAAGAAAAAGTAAACAGATAGAAGAGTTACTTACTAGCGAAAGAGCAGTGTTGAGAAGGACATTCAATCCGAATATGTGGAAAAATGGCTGCATAAAATAAAGCAAAAAACGTTAACTACTACCCAGACCCAACT